CCGACCTATTAGTGGGTATGGATGTAATACAACGTTTAGGTGAAGAAAAGTTTACTCTAGGAACACCTTAAGGTAAAAATATGATCAAAGGGTTGTAAGTGGTTTAAAAATACGCAAGATTTTAATTTATTTTTAACTTGGTCATGTTTCCTTGTTTCTATTCTTTTAAATGGAAGCAAAATATTGTGAAAGGAAACAGTTTTATTGTTTATTAAAAGTTTTTGGTAGAGGTTGTCTTTCTTATTGTTGTCATTTTCAACTAACCACTAGCTGATTGTTTGAAGCCTGTATTTTTTTTACTCTTAAACTGTTTTATTATGATTGCTAGAAAGCATTTGAAGGTACAGATTGATGACCCCACACTTCTTAAAATGGACTTTTATGCAATATGAACACTTAGGAAAAAAATAAAGCTAACCAGAATTTCAGTAATGACTCGCCAAAATAAATTGTATTTATAAACACTGCTATCAAAGTATGTATCTACCCCCTTAGGTTCAGTGTTAATTAATAGTTACAGCCTGTTGGCTCTAATTGTATGATACTGAAAGTATCAGTAGCTGTCTTGCTCCAGGTATCCATTATGCAATTTAAGTTATGAGTCCCAAGACTAAGAAGAGCCATCTAATGGCTCTAAATTATATTGATTGAATTTTTTTTATGTACTTGAGTTGCAGTTTTTGTTTGTGATTTTACTTTGTTTGTCTAGCAACAAATAACAGCTGAAATAGAGTTGATGACTGCACTGCATAGGTATTGTAATAGAATTAGTGATTTAGCTTAAAGCCTTATAATAAATCCAATGACTGTAAATCATTTGTTATTTTAAATACCACTGTGCATTGTGGTATCAAATAGATTTTATACTCCTTGCCAAGCATAATGGTTTCCTGTGGTCAATGAATTATGTTGTGGTGGGAGAAGTTACATGGTACAATGTTGTACTTCTCAGGTACATGAGTAAAAGATACTGAATAAAGGAAAATTACATTTTTAATTGTGAATAGGAAATTACTTTTAGTTTATACAATTATGTTTCCAAAAGGTTGTGACTCTCCAATGTAACTTTCTCCTACTTCTACCTTTCTGGTCATTTTAGTTCATTCTTTAGTTCCAGTCACTTTACTGATAATTATGGTCACTTGAACTTTGAATTATTTTAATACTGGTTCAATAGGCTTTTTCATTGCTTATTTTCCTTGAGCTTGAGTGAAGCCTTGGTGTAAAAGATCACTTACTCCCCTTCTCTGAAATCACTTTCCCCCTCATCCTGCATGTTCCCTCCCTAAATAAATAATACAGGGGAAAAATTCACATTTAACAGCTTTCATACTACCCTTCAGCTCTCCAAATACTCCTTTTTATATCATTTTTGTTCATTTCTTAGCGAGAGATTAAGGGGAAGAGAGTGCATCACTGACATGTTGCGATCCCATAAAAGAAATTTTGATATCTGTGATCCTTGATTTAGTTTCTTTAGTTTATTTATTTCTTTATTTCACTGAACTGTGCCAGACACCTGTTGTAAGACCCTCTAAAAACAAGACAAGGAATAATATAAAAATATACCAGCAATCTCCAGAATGAAAATAGAAGGTGAAGGGTAGTATGAAAGCTGTTCAATATACAAGATAAATTTTGTTATAGTTGGGCATGATGTCTCTATGAGAAGACAAAAATACTTGCAGTCTTGGTAATTTATATCTTTTTCTAAAAATCTAGTACCTACAAACACTGAGTTCAAGGAATGCATTTCTTAAAAGAAATTTTCATAATCATTGTTATGACAAGTTACCTTGCATTTAATATGGTAAAGGATGTGCACAATCCATGCAGAGTGTTTCTGGCCTTTACAGTTTAACCCTTTGATCCCTAAGAGTGATCAGCTTCTAGTTTCTCTATACAATATCACCCTTGAATCAAAAAGTAAGGTCACAAGAATAAAGTAAATGATCACCAACTAAAGAAGCTTTTGATTGATAGACAAATTCTCCTTGTCAGCACCTTTGGAAATGTATAGAGAACAGTATGGAGAATATGCATACTGATGTTAGGATGTAAAGGTTTAATTATGTGTATACCATATTTCATTGAATAGGCACTCACCCTCTAATAAGTGCTCTCTCCCAAATAAGCACCCACCCCCTCGACCATTATATCAAACAAGCCCCTTTCACCCCTCCCTCACTTTCTTACATGGCATGGATACAAAGAAAACCTGCTTCCACTGCCACTTTATTTATAATTCGTTAAGCTTCAACTACAGCAGAGTCAGTACAAGAGAATAACAACTAACCTCCCTCCCATTCAGCAAAAATTTTAAATAACCTCCTTGGTGCTCATTCGAGGAAATATGGCACTTGTAAATATGTCACACCATATCAATGCACAATGATGGTCTCTCAAAGTAAAGTGTATGCAACTTATTTAAATATTTTTTCACATGAAATTTTTCCAGTGGCAAAGTTTTAACTTAATTGTTGCAGTCTTAAGTTTGTTTAATCCATAGACATCCTCCTTGATTTATTCTGAGGGTTTTCCTCAGAAATTAACATTGAATATAAAAATCATAAAAGATGCTCACAGCCAATATGCAGGTTTGTTGGAAAAATAACCCGGTAACCCTGTGCTACCAAAAACTATTAATAAAATGCAAGGCAAAATCATGACCAATCAATGTTTCATTCAAGTAAGTGCAAGGAATTGACTGATATTCATGTTCATTAAATTTCTGACTTCTCTCGAATAATTTTTTTGTTATCAAATGGTAAGCAAGTTTTCAGTCCAACTACAAATAAGCTTGCGGTAAGTCTTTGCAGGTCTGTTCAATTTGGCCATTTGTACAGTAATTTGCAAAACAAAAACCAAAAGAATTCAATGCTAAAAAGCTGTATTAAATTACCATTGGGTCTAGTTTAAGTGTCTCATTTGACTTAAGTTTTTTGGTGAAAAAACGTCAGATTTACACGTGCTATTGCAGCAAACAAACAAGAAAACTCCCACCACTTAAAAACTTACATTTTAATTTACTTCCAATTACCTTCCTTTTCATTTACTGATAGACTGAGCAGAGGTATTCTTTGAAAACTAATCATCCATGGAAGTGAATTATACTATCCTAAGATCAATGAATGTTTTTGAAGAAAAAGTTGTCATGACATGCAGTCATTGAACTCAAGTTTGTTTGCCAAACCAGTAGCATTGTTTTTATTTCTCAGAAGTGTACACGAGCTATTTTTTTATGCTCTCTTTAATTGACAGGTGTCAGATTGTCACAGATACTTGTAAATAAAGGTTTCAAAGTTTGTTTAGAAGCCTTCTAAATAAACTTTATCCGCTAAGTAAAGAAAAGTATTTCGGTGAAGCTTCCCTCTTTAATTTGCATCACCTCTGTTTTAACAACAATTTACTTGCCGAAAAATTGTACAGTTTAAGGAGGATCTTGCCGTAATTACAGCCCTAAATCGTTCGGGTTCTTTGGCAAGTATTTCGTTGAGTTTTAGAAAAAAATAAAAGTGTTATTCACCAGCCTAGTCGGTCCGTATTGGGAAAAACTGTGCCCTCTGTCTCATGTACCTCAAGACTACGGGCACAGTTTTTCCCAATACGGACCTCCCGGCTGGCGAATAACATATATATACAGGGCCACTTTTGAGGGAGCATATACATCAAGTGGCTCGTTTGGCTTGGCAGTGGATGAAAGAACAAGGAATAACGAATATGCGCGTTAAGTCTTAGGTCTATATATTTTGTGGCTCGTTTGGCTCGGCAGTGGACATATATAGGAGCAAACGAGCCATGCGAGCCGTGGATAGTAAAAGTGGCCCTGTTTTCTATGTTCAGTCGAAAGTTTTCCTCAAATTTTCGTACCTTTGCGATGTTTACGGTCATTTCCACATTCAAACACAGAGTAATAATCTCCTCAGCCCATCATGGAAAGAAAAAAGTTTGCAAAAATATAACTTTTAAGAGAATACCTATGAACTCTTAATGGCTATCTAACCTGGTACAAGGGGACCTGGTACTAGGTTCGCCAATCCCAAAATTCATTCGGATGACTGTAATAGCAAAGAAGCGCATTGGGTAAAAGCCTGATCCTGATTGTCCGATCACATGAGCGTCTACTTTGCGAAACTGACTTACATCTCCTCTGGCTCAACGGCATTTGAAGTGAATTAAGGTTTGGGGTAAGCAACGAAAAGCAAGAAAAATAAGGTTTGTGGTTTCTTTCAAATAAATTCTCAGTTTTCTAGTGACACACACACTTGTAACGTGTCCATTTTTCGCAACCCTCTCTTTCAGATCAGAGTTTGGTGAGAGCGGTGTACGTCGATCGAGGTTTGTTATAGAGAATTGTTCCAGATCAAGTGTGATACAAAGTTAATACATATGCTATACTCCAATATTTCATTCGTATTAAGCTAATTATTTAAAATGCCAATTTGATTTATGTAGTTTATGAGAAAATATGACGCGTTTTACCTGCGCCTACATCCAAGGGAAATAATAGATACAAGTACTTCTAGTCATTAATATTTCTCAAATAATTCACCATGCTAACGAGATTGTTAATTGATTTGCAAAAGTGTTTGGTTTGATCCGTTCCTTTGCGTTTCTTCTCGTGTTCGGTCTTAAATATGAATCAGCAAAGGTTGGTTTTCCTGAATAATGAGCGATCTATATTTCTTTGTTACTTCTTCCCCGTCTGATTATCCACATGACCGTTGGCGGGAAAACAAAGTCACATGACTGAATGAAGAGCTCCAGAAACGCAGCCATGATACGTGTGTCTTTTGGGACGAGTGACTCACTTAAATTATGTGCGAAATTTACAGATTTCTCTGCCTTAGTCATGTCAGAAAATTTGTACTTCTGTCTTTGGGAAAAAGAGCCTCATCAGAAGAGTACAGTTCAGGGAGTAATTCGGCGATTTACACCCCTGCATTGTTCGGCACGAAGTCCAATTACCGGTGTCAATAGCCATGTGAGAAACTCAGGAATGAAAAATTTAATGCAAGAGCACATACCCTTTTGAGTGCTACGGAATAACAGTTACTGGGCCAGTTTTTTCTTTCTGTGTTTGATGTCAACCTGGACCTTACAATCTGAAAAAAAGAGTTTTTGACATAGACTAATGTTGGTGGCATGAAAGGTCTAGAACGGAATATGGCCACCAAAAATCTTTTTCCAAGGACTAGAGAAATTAGTTGATACCTGAGTAGAACAGACCAAGTGATGGTACTGCCGTTAAATTATTGGCCAAGGGTTGGCTAATTGATGTTAGGCATTTGAATGTTATAGTGGTTGAACCACCTCAGTAAAAGTACATCAGAGACCGTGGGTAAGGAGCTTCGCTATCTGAGGACCATCTTGGGGAGGTTGGATTGTTCTTTTGCTAAGCATGGGGTTAAGCTGGACAGGCCCCTCAGTATTCATTATTATGAGTGGGTTAATACCACAGACACCAAATTGAAAGTCTCAGATGCCTCATCTGTTTCACCCTACATGAATTCCACTACATCCTTGGTAGAGTTTCTATCACCCCCGGCTGTGTTAGGGCAGAAGGAGATGCCAGTAGACCTGCACCAATTTGTTGTACCAGCCCAAACCAGAGCTTTAGCAGAATTAGCGGACAGCCCCATGGAAAAAAATAAACAATCCTGATACGTTTGATAAAATAATCAGCAAATAGTAAAGAACAAACACTTTTGAGTATGCCTGAATTTTAAGTTATGAAATGATTCCCAACACAACAACTTACCTGTTTCTTTTTTTCTACTTTCTAAGGAACTGATACTGATTCAGTTGCAATTGAGGGCAACATTAATGTCCAGCTGTCCAGAATGGAGTTCACTCATGCAAAGGCTGCCCACAAGCCTACAGCCATGGCACTTCACCTTGTGGACCATCTTTTTAAAAGAGATGTGTTGTTTAAATCAACTGTCCATGGCACAAAGGGGTATGCTCCCCCAGACCAAGACATACTTACTGCAATTAGAGGTTAGTAAAGGGTTTGTAAAACTTGTGCGAATAGAGCTAAGAACTCCGCATCTAAACCAATTATAAATATTTTCACTGTTTGCTTGGAAATGTAGCATGTGACCTCCCAATTGTTTATTATTACAAAAAAGTGAGACAACAGATGTAGGAACAATTTTTTAAGTGAGCAGTTTGTAATATGCATGCAAGTCATTAGACACAATTTGGTGTCAATGATTTAAAAACATTTTTAACATATGCTTGAAAACCTTGCTGGTATATTTATAAACATGAAGCAGCATTTGTTTTCTTTATTATTTTTCGCTGAATTATGAACAGCATTTGCATATCAGAGCCACAGTGCTAACGCCCACCTTCACATGTGGGACCAGTGTAAGACAACCATTATTAAAAGAAAATTAAAAGCTTAAAAGGGACCATATTTTTTGCATTGAGAATATTAATTAATTAAATTAGCATATAATCATCAATCAGTTGAAACAAGCAAAACTTCAACTTAGGCATTGATATAAATAGCTGAAATTGTGAATTGAAAAGGACCCCAGAACTCATGTGGGCCAGTCAGTAGGTCTAAATTTACTTGTTGAATTTAGTTGAAGTGGAAGTCTCAACTGTGATTATTCCTGAGTGGAATGGTCTAAGAAAACCATACATTGAGGCAGTCTGTAAAAGTAATTTGCATTGTTTTTAAGTATTATCAGGGCAAGCAACAGATGCTCTAAATGATAGTTGTGAGGACAAGCTTATAGATGGTAATAAAGACCTGATGCAGTTCTTTGAAGAAATAATCAAATGGTAAATGCTTCAACCATCTATGTTTTGACTTGTAATAAATGTTGCCTTGATAGATTCTTGCTGATAATGATTACTCCATACAACCATTGGTAAATGAATCACACCACAATGTTGTCTGGATCTTAAATAAAAAATTAGTAAAAGTAGTAGTCAGGTATTTACATCCATTATATGCTTCTTCTCAAGGAGACACACCAGCAGAATTTAAACTAATTAGGTTGGCAGCCACCCAAGACGGGGAGATTAGGAGATTAACTGCTGGCAGTGGATTAAGATAAACACAAATAAGCTGGAAAGATTTTGAAAAGTAGTAGTCAGGTATTTACATCCATTATATGCTTCTTCTCAAGGAGACACACCAGCAGAATTTAAACTAATTAGGTTGGCAGCCACCCAAGACGGGGAGATTAGGAGATTAACTGCTGGCAGTGGATTAAGATAAACACAAATAAGCTGGAAAGATTTTGATTGAATGTTTCCTTATATTTGGGTTGTTTTTCAGTTTGTCAGAAGAAAACTATGGCCAATGTTCTACCAATACAGACAAGTGGATACAACTTTCAAGAGTTGTTTGTGAGATATGTGGACGATTGGGTAAGTTGATCTGGTGCTTCATTAGCAATTAAATCTTTTTTTTTTTCACAAGAACCTTACTTCATTGTATTCTTTAAGTTACACCCCATTCATGGTTCCTCAACATATGAAATAATATTGATTCTTTTTGAGGAAATCAAGACATACTGTATGCATGTGCATAGGTTTCTTACTTGAGTATAGTAGTTAACCTCTCAAATATATGGATATAATGATACAACTGATTTTTTTCAGGTAATTCACATTGTGGTTAAAAAGCTCAAGTGTTTATTTTATAATTCAATGTTGTATAAGTTGGTTTGCCTGTGGAAAACATAGTAACAAAAATACCTTGAATTTCCTTTCTTTCATGAAAAATTATTAAATTGCTACCACTTGGAATTGCATGTTTGGCTCAAAAAAGTTTGGCTTGTTTCTATGTTTTTGGAACATTAACAGTACATTTAAATTATAAACTCCATTATATAGCAATTGATAAATTGAAAATGTGTAACCTATGTTATGTATAGCAGTGTGTGATCTATGAATAGAAAAATGTCATTTAGTTTGGGGGCTAAGTCTTTTTCCATCATTTGCAGTTTTTAAATTGCATGGTTGTAATTTAGATGCTCAACATTTGCAATTAAAAAATCATTTTTCTAATTAAGGTATAACCATTTGCAATTTATGAGTAGTGTATGTGCAATTGCTAGGTCACAAATTGCTTAGTAGCTTTTTTAAACTCTAAATCAACTGTAGAAGATATGGATAAGTAAATGTACTCCTATCTCTTTTATAAAATAATAATTGAATAATTGTGGATTGAGTTTCCTTTGACACTTGCATTTTGATGTGACGTGTTTCTTGTCACATCTTGTACAGGTGATGAACAGAATATTCAAGAGGATCATTTGGCGCACTGTAGAGAAGGTGAAGAAAACTACTTTGCTGATGGTGAGAATTCTTCATGTGTGTCATATGAGGTTGATAGTGACTTGCTGTCCAATTCAGAAAACTGTGGTGGATCTATCAATAGTGAGTGATTTCTACCAAACGCAATCATTACTGTTAATTGTGAAAGACTTTGCAGAGATTATGATGAAAGCATGGCATGAAAAAGGTATAGTGTGTGTGTATATACATATAAATAGATATATACACATTCAACAGATTTTTCCACTACTCATTTTTTAACATGTTTGCACAGTGGTCAACTGTTTGAATTTTTTTTTGTAGAGTTCTTTTTTATTTATTCAGCTTTAGTGGAATAGGCTTGACCAGGTTTTTACCACTACCATTGCAGTGTACTAGGGTCTAGAACTCCCCATTTATACATGTTTTTCTCACAATGTAGGTGGCATTTCATGTTTATTTTTATTTGCCAATAAGGCCTCTTCTACATCATCTGTGGAGCCTCAAGTGGTATCAGGAATATCCCTTGTCCAGATTTAGTTTCCTGAGGCCAAAAATAATTCAATTATTGATATTATGTTGTAGGCAAATTGATAAGAACAAGTTATTTTGAGTTATTGCCTTTGCCATCAGTCTGCTGAGTTAAGGATTTAGAATTTTAGTCTTAGCATAAATTCACCAAGTTTCTCTACAGCATTTTCACGATCTTTAATGAAATTCTCTGAAACCCCAAAACTCCAGGGGCAGCACCAGTATCACTTTTGGTAAACAATGTTCTCTTTTTGCAGAGGGAAATAAAATGGTCTCAAAATATTTATTCTTTTTCCATGTCATGATTTTTGCACTATCATAATTTACAAAATATCTAGAAAGTGATATGATTTGTCCTTTTTTTTATTCTTTTCAAGGGAACATGCAGGGCAATGGTGGTATACATAATGATGAGCCTGAGTTGTATTCTGGCTCAAGATGCAATACCATTTATGTGGATTCCACTGCAAACTCTCAGCTTGGAGCTACAGGGCATGGTTCTGAATGTGAAAGCCCCCTTCTTGTTGAGAAAGTAGAAAAGAAAGAAAGAGATCAGGACCCTCGACCAACTGACACCTTGTCTTTTGACAAAGTAGAGAATTGGCTACAGTTCACCTGCTCTGCCAATGGCTTGCCATCTCTGTCTCCTTATATTCCAGAATCATCAGACTCAGATCACAATGATACTCTTACATTGCTTAATTGTGTGGAGTCTGCAAGAGCCATTATGGAAGGAAGAGAGAAAAGAAGAAGAGCAACAAATTGGTGGAGTAGGGGAGGAAAAGTGAGTAATCCTCTCTTTCATTCCATATTGGTGGAACCTCTGAAAATTTTACCAGGTTCATTGATGTACATGATGGTCTAAAATTGAAATTTCATATCTTTTTTTTACAGTATAATTGTCTGCAGTTTGTCAGCATATGTATTTTACTTTTCAGTATTTTTAAAATGAATTTCTTTTGTTGGAAGGACTTTTTTTATGAATATTTTAAACTTCACAGAAAAGTACTGACACATTAATTTGATTCTGAAAAGTCAATTGTACACTGATCAACTGTGGTGAAGTAACCATCTGCAGGCAAAGCTTGAAACCACCACCAGATTACCAAAACTATTTGCAATTTAGCTTTCAAACCCCTGATTGGCTTTTTTCTTGAGAGATAGCTACATTTTTCAGATGTTTGTGGTGTTCTCAGGTTTAGATATAAGTTTCACAGTAAGTGTAATTTTGATTTCTATGATTATTGTGGCATACATATTTAGCATGAAGAGGAAGAAGGAGAGAAGCAGATCTCAAGACGAGATGGGGCAAAGAAAGACTACAAAGTTGAGAAATGGCTGAAGGTTGTCTGCGCTGCTAAGGGCTTGTCTGCTGGGGAATTGACATCATTTCTGTCTTGTAATGTTCCCTCAAGTTTAGATGCAGCTCATAACGATGAGCTTTCATTGCTAAAGGGTGTAGAGACTGTAAGAGTTAGATTACCAGGAAGAGGAGAAAGAGAGAGAGATGCAAAATCTTCTTACAGTGGAGAGGTGAGGAACTCTTGTTTTTGTTTCTATTGAATTGTGCGTCCAGCATTATCTGTCATTTTGCAGTGCTCAAGGCAGGTTTGTTAATACCCATTATAAATAAATATGAGGGCAGATATCTTATATTATGCTAATTTACTATTGTTCGTTTTTGCTTTCGGTAGACATGGGCAGTGTAGTCATTTCCATTTTTAATGGCTTTTCATTTGCGGTGTAACTGTTGGAGATGTTGTGGGGGGGGGAAGGTGGGAGGGAGACACAGGCAAGGGATCTGCACCTAGATATTACATCCCATGTAAAGTTTTGCATAGGGTGCATCAATGGTTTCTGTGATGTGTTGTAGTTACAAACCTAATGAAGATTTTATGGAACATTCGGACATTCAGTTTCAGAAGTCTCTGGTTTGACTCAATCTCCTTATTGCATTTGGTTAGTTTATTGTGCTTCAATAATTATAGTCATCCACAACAGTTCTGTATACCAATGGGACTCCGACCCTGTAGACGCGGGTCACCTTAACTTAATAACTTTTATAACTCATCCGGGTTCTCTAATCATAAATAACAGGAAAGCAGTCATACATTGTCAACTGCACTACTTCCCCTAAGATTTCCAATTACCTGTATGTCTGTATTACTTACTTTTCCAGCTCTTACCAACATTTCTTGATATTTGCTTTTAGTCCAACATCGAAACGCTGAGTTGTTCTAAATTTTTTTAAATGTTTTTCAAAATCCACAGAAAAATGATGTCCGACCTTCCCAAAGCAACCATCAAGACGTGGCAAAGCAGGCAGAGGCTTGAGCTGCCATAAGCAATCATGAAGAAAAATTCATCACAATGAAAACTTAGTTTGTGTTATTTAATTTGTAAACACATCGAGCGTCTCTCCCAACTATCCGCGTGCATTCTGAATTGGATTATAGAACGCTAGACATTGTCCATTCCTTAACTTTTCCATGATATATTAGCCAATCAGAGCGCGCGTTAGAATGTCGCTATGTTAAAATATAGGATGCAACAGACAATTTTGAAAACATGTACTTTCGTACCCGAGTGTCATTAGAGTTAAAATGTGTTAAAGACGTTGTTAATTGAAATTAATTGCAAAGGATATCACAAGAACTATCGTCACTGTTCTTTTAGCGTTTTCCTCTCCTTCCTTTGCAAACAAAGCTACCAAACATGAAGTTTGAAAACTTTTGTAACGCCATCAAGTTCTGGGATATAAAGACGAACATACTGGGTTTCAAGGAATAGAGTTGAGAGCCGATCCATTTTTTCGTAGTAGGTTTTAAAGACGTACATAAATGTAGGTTTACATATTTCAGCTGATCAAATGAAAAAAAACGTTCCAAATATTACGTCCTGATCTATCACGATCTAAAGGCTTGATCAGGAACACAAAACGTCCAGTGTCTGTAACATTAAGTCTTAAACCAAGTTTATTTGAATCAAAAAGTCTAAACATGAAGCTGTTAGAACATGGAAAACCTAACAATAAAATAAAAACAAGTGTACATAATCAAGAAACATGTGCCAGAAATTGCTGAAAACTACATTCATCTTGCACAGTACAAAATCAGGCTATGACTTAGTTTTGTTTTTCTAGAAGTTTTATGACAATTTGAGGCTGCTGCTACTGCATCAAGGTGAACATCTGCTGTAAATTTTGCATCTGTTCTTGTTACTGTTTAGTTTGCTGCAGAATGACCTGCATCAAATCCTGATGTTGCTTTTTGGATTGCTCTTCCTTCTTACTCTCAGCCTCTAGTCGCCGCTTCTGTAGCTGTATTTCTTCCATTTCCCATTTCTGCATGAGGTCGTTCTTTTCTCGCAAATATGCCACCGTGTCGCTACCACCTCTTCGACGTTTGGCTCTTGCTGCTGTTTCATTCTCTACCCATTTCCACTCTTCAATTTCTTCATGCAGGGAAGAGTTCAACTCCTTTAGTTGTTCATTTTCCCTCTCCAGCTCTGCTACTGACTGAACATGTCTCTCAAACACATGGAACTTTTTTATTTTCGAGTTCAAGGCAAGGCCCTTTCTCCCCCTGATCTGCTTGTATTGAGACTTCACAGAAGAAGCTAATTTTCGCAGAGATTCATTCAACTCTTCTCTCACTTCTTCCGATTTTCTGATAGAAAACAGATTGCTAGGAATAATAAGTTCAAACAAGTCTATGTAAGTTTTATATTTTTTCCTCATACGTTTCTGAAATACTTCCAGCGTGATCGGACCTTGCGTCAGTTCACCATCCACGTGTTCTTCTTCCTCTGTCCCTTCATTTTCTTGTTTATCAAGGAATTCATTCCAAGCTTTAAGCATAGGGAAAGGTATGTCAAAGGTAAATGCAACATTTTCCGCCATGGACTGTGAGACATATTTCAGTGAAGGAGGTTGTGGTGCCAATTTCGTATTAAATATATAGTTGGGAGGAGGTGCGTCCGACATTGTAAATGTTTCAAGTGATTACGAACCTGGAGAGGTAAGATGTCTTATTACTTTATTGCAAAATAACAGATTGAGACCGGAAAGAAATGAGAAACTTGCGTCACGTTTATGCCTAAATTGGAAGTCACGCAACCATGTCACGGAATGGATAGCGTTACGGCAAAGCACGGTTATTTTTTAATATCACCCTTGAACCAATCAGTTTTCTTTATTTATATCATTTGACCTGTGTAAACAAGCTAAGATACCAAGCCTTTAAAAGTACAAATGGCGTCGGAAACCATTTTTTCGGGAAGAACTGTCGATCCAACTTCTGCGACATCCTTTCTGCGTGACTAAAGGCGAAAGTTCTGTTCGCGATGAATACTGCAAATCTTCAACTTTACGGGGATCAAAGAGAATGCCACATTCATCCAAAAAAGCGGCACAAAATGAGAGATAAGAGACCCCTGTTCGCAACGCGATGCTCGCAACCTACCAATAGTGTCTTCTTTCGCGGATGTGCCGGGTCGAAGTTTGGCTATTTCAGCCAATTTACTGTGTTTGTATGGAAGTGCAATATGACTCTTATATGGGATTTGCGTAATTTGTTTGGGATCAAAGACGAAACGAGTGTGAACCTCGAAATTTCGTCCAAAGCAGCAACTCACTAACAAGATAGCACACCGATGCTTGCAAGTACGATAATTATTTTAATTTTGTCAAAATTTTTTAATATTAGAACTTTGCCATACAAATCCTTAGAAGCTTCGGACATTTTTAAAGGGCATTAGGAAAACTCTGCGCATGCTTGGCCGCCATGATGTCCTTCATTTCTGCGCCTTTTGGAACTTAAAGTTCTAATGATTACTATTTGACCACAATCACGTACACAAGGGACGAATCGTTTTCTTAACGAAGCAGCGCAATTGTAATTTCCCGCACAAATGAAATAACATATTTTACCCTGAATTCACAGGGTTTAAAATAAGTCCACACTCTTTGGAAAGTCAGTCAGAGAGTTTTCTCTACTTTGGAGTTAAAACTGCACAATATGGTCTACGTTCACAAATAATTATATTATAGATTATAGATTATAATTAAAATCTAACACCTTTAAGACCCTTTATGGTCTTCTAAGCTGAGTTAGGTAAATTAAGTCAAAAGTCAGAGGTCTACCCAGAACCCTGTTAAGTTTGTCCATCTGAGAAGATTAGACACCAATTACAACTTTTTCTATTTAAATACTTGTGGAGGTGAGATATGTAAAATACATTCTCCTTTTGAGCGGCGGTCGATTGAGCGTAGAAATGTTCCGCAAACATCTATAAGATACGAAGCTGAGCTGCATCATCCTAGCTACGCACTCAGCTTTTCATCAACAATTTTATCTTTTCCAAGCGGTACTTACCATTAAAATTTTCAAAAACTACTATACATATGAATTTGAAACCTGCGCTTGGCGCATGAAGCTGTGACACTGCGCTCTTCAGTGGTTGTACAACAAGCAAACAGACCTTAGGCCCGTTTGCTATGATAGAATTGCTCATGTGATCAGTGCTACAAGGACAGAAGTCAAATATGCGCGACCTCTGCTAGCAGAGGATTTGATAACAACACAAAAATATAATAATTTAGCAAGATTACTGGACCGTGATTAACCATTTTTAAAATCCGGCAGGCAATAACCACGGCAATTTAACCAAAACTGGCGAATATGTTACATACAAGTATGTGTGTAAAAATTAATCAAATAATCTCATACTTTCCCAAAAAACGGGAGGCAGAACGAAGACCCAACGAAGAGAAATTAGTTGACAATTTTAAAATTCGTTTCGTACTCCAATTACCTCTGTGTTATCGAAGAAATTTTTGGTTTCCCTTTCTGTTCAACTATGAATTAAAGCCTACGATCACATAGTGTTTTCCCAGCCTACCCATTCCATAGCGAACATAATTGATCGTAACAATAACAAACGGAGAATTTAAGAACCTAACAAAAACTCAGACTAAATTTTGACATTTTGACCACTAGGGAGCTGTCAGTCACGAGTAAACAAAGCATCACACAGTCTTTGATTTTGGTACTCTAAAGTTACAGCTTTAAAACTTCGCAATATTTGTGTTTGAAACTGACCAAAATGACCTGGCTAAATCGTCACGCCGAGCGTACAAATACAAGAGAATATAGAGGGGTGAGTTTCTAAAGTAACAAATACAAGAGTCGAATCAGGCCTAACATGATAAAAAAAACTCTATCAAATGCACTAAATGTCTAAACGTGTCCGCGAGGAAAATCGATAAGTACAGCCGTCACAGTGACGTTTGAAAAATCGAAAAGGTTTCCGAAGGTACTCCATTTTGTGTATAATTCTTTCAAGTGAATCCATCACTCATTACCTACTTGTTTGATATACCGGCAAGTAGAAAAACAAAACCTTCCTATTTCTCACTTTAAGAGGCTGAGCTCAACTGGATCCACTCTATGACTTCAGATCGAATTCAACCCCCCAAAAATGCCTTAAAAACCCATGTGGTCAGTCTAAAATAATGCGTGACGTTTGTTATGACGGAACCAGCAGAGTACTACGAATGATTACATGACTAGACTAGAACAACAACTGGACGATTTAACAAAGACGATTTCACTACAGTTGTTAACCTGTGTATTTCAAATTTATCAAGACTAATAGCTTGGCATTTGACCATTTTCGCTCTCCGAAAACGCGTCAAGTTCACTGAAAATAAAACAGACGTTGTTCAATGAAAGATAACTACATACATAGCAATTGGTCGCATCGTCATCATGTTTTTCAGAGAACAGTTTCTACGATGGAGCGAACACGAATCAATAGTTAAAATCAAAATCATGGTGAAACTTCAGTCGTCTTTATACTACCACAATATATCTAAATCTGTCCTTTCCTCTTCAGAGAGGTCTCGAAGCGTTATATCCCAGGGTAGTAATTTTCCAGAGTTGCTGTTGTGCAATTTTCGCACCATAAACAAAATTGATTGCAGTACAGATAAACAAGAACTATCAAAGTAACCATTGCCTTGTTTTTCAGTCTATGCACTGATGATTAAACGTCTTCGAGAACCTTTTTAAGAGCGATGAAATACAAAATTGTTCACGTGGTCAGTTCAATCATTTGCGTGTGTTCTTGGCGTGACTGACGGGGTTTCACCAGATCAATAGACAAAGTATGACCATAAAGTAAACAATTTGATTCATCAAGGATTTGGTGGCAATCATTTCAACTGAGCAAGCTTACTGGTCATGTGATCAACTTATTTTCGCATCCGGCAGGCAACGACACGGGCAATTTAACTCACTATAGAATCACTAATAATTTACAACTGGTACGCAGGAACGTTTATAAAGATTAATAGCATGTTTTGCTAAAATACGGTTTTTTAGATGGAGCGAACACGAAGCAGTAGTTCATTTTAGAATCTTTTTCGTACCTAAGTCATTTCTGTGCTCCTAAAAATATATTTTCTGCCCTTCCTCTTGAACAAAGACTTGATGCCTACGATGATTGAAGAGCGATTTTCCAAGCCTGGCCAATGTAACAAAATTAATGGCGACACTGACGAGCAAAATGTTTGTAAAATTTAACGAACATTCAGTTTAACTCAGATCACCAAAGACCACGAAGTCAAAAATTAACAAAGCGTGTCAAATATTCCGCGTTTGTTACGAAAGTGCTTCTAGAACAATCTTCGACCAAATAAACCCCCTTTCTAGACATGTCTGGATGTCGGTCGTTTCGCCAACGGTCGTTTCGCAAACGTCTTTAGTCAGTTCGCAAACGTGTAGAAGTCAGTTCGCAAACGTTTAGAGAGACTAGAAGACGATCGGAGGTCTAGAATTTTCGGAACATTTGTTGTAAAATTTTTCGCTTGCCTGCCTAATGTATCTACTAATGTAGCGTTGTAATTACCTCGTTCACTATCGCCGAAGCCGGCTTGAACTTGTTCTCCAGCATCTTGGTTTTAACCGTAGTGACGTTGGTGAAACGACCGGTTACCATGAAAAATTGTCTGTGTTGAATTATTTGTACAGGTCATGTGAACATTCGTGAGCACATGGTGAATCTGCTTTAGTTGTCAGCCACTAGTCACGCAAACAAGATGAAGCCACGCGAGAACCACATAAACGATTTTAACGTGGCTGTCATCAGTGCGTAAAGCTTAAAAATGCGCATGGGGGACTTTTGAGGTGCATATATTACAAAACAATGTGTAGGGGTTGACCTCGATCAGAATTCATAGGGATTGAGCTCAATTTCTCAAGAGGAAAAATAGGAAGGCTTTTTTGTCCGACATGTGGTAACCGGTGGTTTCGCCAACGGTAGTTTCGCAAACGTCTCTGGTCAGTTCGCAAACGTAAATTATTCGATGTAAAATCTTACAGCTTCTTATTTCTGAAGTACCTTATAGGTATATTTCATAATCAAATGGACAGTAGATGACTCACCACAATGGCTACAAGTCGATTTGATATAAACAGACCACCATTTTGAAGTTGCTTTATTTAAACCCAGTCCTTTAGGATGATGTTTGTGTCCTCTTCGCTTACACGCGTGTGATTCGGTTCTAGATTTGTTTCATGCAGCTTACCTCGTACGAAACACGCGCGCTCTATTTGTCACCTATTTAGTGCAGAGATTCCAACCCTCCCGATTTGATCGGGAGTCTCCCGATTTGATGTCTTGCCTCCCGCTCTCCCGATTTTTACCAAATTCTCCCGATTTATCATAAAATTCTGAAAACTAGGGGAAAATTGCTAATCTTTAGAATTTTTGGCGATCTGTCACTGTGAAACACTCATATTATACTTACTTTCTTTGCGAAGAGCATTATGGTATGTTATAACTCAGGCCGGAATGATGTTAAAATTCAGGAAATGGCACTTGAGAGAACCTAAATTTGCAAAATTTCCCGGGGGCATGCCCCCTGACCCCTCTAGAAGCTCGCGCCTTTGGCACTAATAATTACTCCCTATTTTCCATCACATGGGGTTGGAATCTCTGTTAGTGGAAACTACAAATCAGTGGTGCCGTATCTAATAGACTACCAATCACATTGCAGTGATTTTGATCTGCTGCTACTGGGCACGAAAGTATTTAAGAAGTTGCGAGTTCTTCTTAAATCATTCAAGTTAGCTTGACGATCATGACCACTTGTGATCAGGTCACTCAGTGACGCGTCATACGAAATGGAAAGTTTGGCGAAATACGATAGCCGAGAGAGCTTGAATGGCAAACGTAAGTTGCCTTTTTTTTTTTTCATGTACTTTGCCTTTTCACTCAAAATCCGTCTAGTTCTTATCTCAGTCATCCGGCGCGATTGCAAACCGCTACGTTGTTGTTACAAGAAAGGATTGAGACACGACTAGAAAGCAATAGTTAATCACAATCACCATAATCATGATCACTCTTTTCGATTATCCTCAGTTACTTACCGTCGAGTGGAAGGGGGAACCAAACGCAGGAAAGCCATGCTTGTCGATAGTGATGGATTTACTTATAACATATGTAACAAGACAGAGAATGCAACTTATTGGCAGTGCACGGTCCGTCCTAAAGGAAACCCCTGCAAGGCCAAAGTAACAGAAGAAAAAAAAGGAACATTCCAACCAAGGGGTGATCCCCATAACCACATGGCGAAAGGTAAAACCAAAGCGCTGAAGAACGAGATCAAGCCATCTTCGGCGAAAGTGAACGAGGTAATTACAGCGCTACACTAGTAAATACATTATAAGCCAAGCGAGAAATTTTAAAACAAATGTTCCGAAAAGTCCAGATCTCAGATCGTCTTCCAGTCTCTCTAAACGTTTGCGAACTGATCGACTTCTACAAGTTTGCGAATTGACTAGAGACGTTTGCGAAACGATTGTTTACGAAACGATTGTTTGCGAAACGATTGTTTGCGAACTGACTAGACGTTTGCGTAACGATTGTTGGCGAACTGACTCGTTGGCGAAACGCATCCGACCGAAAATTTTAGTTTTCGCGAATGTAAATTCATTTCTTTGCATTTTTAAGGTCGTGCACTTTTTGTTGCCGCTTCCCGTCAGTGAAGAAGCTATTTACTTTCTCAACCAGCTTTTATTCAATTTTTTCTCATACTGTCTTATGCTTAGATTTTTTTGTCAATCAAAGTAAGTGCTGATTTGTATATTTTTACACATTTAGAAAAAGATTTACAAGTGCTTATTTACACCAAACTGCACTTTTAATCATGTTGTTGCCTACAGTATATTTTTTTAATATTCAGAAAATGTCTACCAGTCCTCCCTCAAGAAGGAAAAGAAGGAAGGTTAGTTGGTGTCAGGGAGAACTGGTATTAGCTTGTCAGCAATACATATACAATGTCACAGCTTTTCAACAGAGTTTTATTCTATTACTTCTGAGTAGAGATCAGGGAAATAGCCTGATACAAGCCAGTAATTAGCCTGATTGCACAAAAGTAATCAGTGATGTAATTGGCAAAAAAAAATCTCATCCTACGCCTCTCTACATGGATGTGGGGGACCCCTGGTCGATGAAGTAACCCACATAGGAGGGGTAACCCATCTGTCCATGTAATATCTTATTCTATTATGATTATGTTTGATTATGTAAATGTCTCAAGGTGGGGTAACCCATAGACAGCAACAAACCACTGTTAAACTTTTTTATTTTATTTTAGGCTTTAAAAAAATTGTATACAATTTTTATTTACATTTAATGTCATGTCTTTTAGTGCAGTGGTTTCAAATGATTATTCAACCTTCTGCAGATCCATAGCATTGTTAGATCCCTGATGTTGCAATGGATCTGCAAAAGATTAGAAGCTCATTTCTAAAACAGTAGATAACAGCCTTATTTGAAATCATTACATAAATTAGAGTGCTACTGAAGGACAATGTGCAACATGGTTAAGTAAAAATAAATGTTCATATAAGATTGAACTATGTAAGTCATTTAAGTGACACAGTTAAGTTAAGTCTGATATGTTTCTACACATTGCAAATTTACAGAAACTAAGTTATAGAATATATAATGAAATATTGCAGATCCCTGATTTAAAACCCTGAAAATATAGATATGTACTAATTAAAGTGACTGCAAATAATTTTCTTCTTCATGATTTTATTAGCTAACACAATTTTGACCAGACAATTGCATTTGAATTGACAGTCATTCAAATTTTTTACTAAAATTCACAGTTGCATTGAATTGTGAGCTATTACTTTACAGGAAGGAAATAGTGATCAACATCCCTCCCTTATAAATCAAGTGGAAAACATACAGATCTCAAGAAATGTGAGTACTAGTTTTCCTTGTCAGTTCACAGGGGGAAAACATGCTGAAAAAAGCTATGTTTTACTTTGAAAATGTACTTGTCTAGAGTTACTCAGCTACTTGTAAATGTTTCAGTGGAGACAGAGATCTGCCTAGCTTGTTGTGTTTTATTGGAGCAATGCAAGCAGTGTTCAAAAATGAAAGAGCACTGCAAATTGAAAACTTGCTGTATACCTCCACCTTACAGTTTCCTGTGTTTTTTCCAGAAGTTTTAAAAGCAATTTTGTTGACCCTTTCTTTCCAAATACTTAAACATTCCAAAATGAAGTGAAGTGTTCCATATTTCCTGGTGGCTTTGAGTTACTAAGTAAATTTTTGCAGAATTTTTCAGCTTTCTCCTTGAGAAAGCTATTATTGTGCTTTCTCTCCTTTAGTTCATTTTAGATCATGAAGTATGCATATTCTCCACATTTATTTCATATTTATCTTAACCTAATTTTACCTGTAGCATCTAGCATGCACTGAGCCATTAATAGGGACTTAAATGTCTCATACTATGCTGAATATGTTGAATTTGTTCTTTACCAAGGAATCTTTATCAGAAGGCTGTGGTGACTCAGGTTTTGAAACATGTGACATTCTTACAGGTGATGATGGCTTTTTTTTTTTAGAATTTTTGATACTTTTATAAAAAATTACTCTGTTTTAACATGTAGAGTGGTATGTTGCTTGCACCAATCAGAATACCACATAAGGGTATTTATCTAGCACCAATCAGATTGCAGCATTAGGGTATTATCTGGCACCAATCGGATTATCCCTTTAGGGTATTATCTTGCACCAATCATATCACAACATTTGGATATCATTTGGATTTTGGGCTCATTTGATAAGAGTTATGTTTGTGGCCTTTGCAAGATTCTTGTCAAGCGAGGTTGAAATTTTTCGGGATATCAAAGGATTGCATTTATTTTAATTGTAAGTGGAAACATGTTTTTTCCACTCCTTTTCTCACAACGCATACACCAAACAACTCGCATCACATACTAATTGAAAACAACATCCAAAGTTCAATCAGAACATACTCAATCATTGCATTACATGAACATCAGGCAATTTTTTTCATGCTTGGATTGTATTCACCAATCAAATTCCACTTTCACATATTAGACTTCTGAATAAAATAAAGCAAATAAGTAAAAAAAATCCCCCAAAAATGGATGACTTAAACTTAATACATGTATGTTTCCAAAGCAAATGACCATTTATCAAGGGAAGAAAATCTGGTGTTGATTTCATCGTCACGGATAGTATTTCAGTCTGTAACCTATTTTGATCGATATTTGCCTTACACCCTTACAAGTTTCAGCTAGCTTTATTTTGTGATAAGAGATTTTAATAAAATCTTGGTGTAGTGATGAGCATATTTACTTGCTTTGAACTTATTAGCTGATATTAACTTTCCAGATCAAGATTTGCTTGCATCTAGTGATGAAGACATAGATTTAGAGTGGTGGATGAAATACCAATGTGAGGTTGTCATAAATCCTACACGAAGTCCTTTGGAGGTAAAGAATTACCTTGTATATGCCATTATACCTATGCCTATTATTTAAAGGACGATGTGAAATAGTTTGTAAGCATTTTTTCACCATTTCCTGATGCAATTCTGTTAGTTGTTTATCACAGTTCAGAATAAAGGGTAAATTAAAGATTGCATTTCAATTTCAGAAATTAATTTGCGTGCCTTCTTTGTCTGTCTGTGATGTTTAAGTTCAAGTTGAATAGGGTAAAAACAATTATTTGTTGACACTGAATTTGTTTCCCACATCTGCAGGGAGGAGTGCCCTGCATTTTCACCTTTCAACCTGAACTGTCATCAGTTGTTAATTTGGCAGCTCTCTTTGGTAATTCAGAACAAGTTACACTGGAGAAGACAAGTCATGGCTATCTTTGTGAAATTCCAGGTTTGTAAAATTATTAACTAGTATACTACTGCTACAAAGGCCCATGGCTCCGTGTGGAGCATAGGCCATCGACGACCCCTTGCCATCGCACTCTGTTCTGGGCTAATCTTGCTGCTTGAGCTCTGCCTCAGTGTCTTGCCTCCAGCTGTTGCGAGGCCGGCCTCTCTTCGTCTTTCCCTGCGGGTTCCAGGTCAGAGCTTGGTGTGTGATGCTGGATGCTGGCTTCCTAAGAGTGTGTCTGATCCAGCCCCACTTCCTCTTCAGAATTTGTTTTGCTACTGGTTCCTGTCCCACTTGCTCCCACAGGTCTTCAGTTGGGATCATCTCTGGCCATCTGATGTTGTAGATGCGCCACAGACAGGTGTTGAAGAATGAAATTAACTTGTATACCAACCAGGATATAGCATACAAAGCCCGAAAACCAAAACCCTTACAGATATCCTAAGCACAAACTCCAAAATAAAGTTGCAAAAGCCCTGCTATATGATAAAGCTCTCACTGAAAAGCAAGTTTGTTGTAAATTTTCTCTTCCTTCAATTCGTCATCAGCAGCAGTTTGTATTATAAATCCTACTACTAGTCTAAAAAAACTAGGTGGTTATTTAAATGGGACAAACATATGGGATTCTGCTATGAATCAATGGATATCTATTAAAACTACCAGTTATAGTAATTTCTCTTTGTGATATAATTACATACCTTATCATCCATGAGATTTTTTACAAAGACATATATCACTGTTTTATGGAGGTATTTCAATGTCTTTATCACCATTTTATCCATAGCTTCACTTGAAATGAAACCTGGTGTCTTTCCAGTCTATCTCATTTCAATGACCAATGGCGAAACTCTGGCAGAGACTTCTTTAGAGTACTGTGAAGAACTGTATGTGCAAAAAAATTTAGTCAAGAAGCCTGGAGCCTTTGGTAGTGGAAAAAGGGAAGATGGAAGCAGTGATGGTGGAGCCAGCGGAGATGGGGCTAGTGGAGGTAGAAGCAGTGGAGGCGGAAGTAGTAGAGAAGGGACTGGTGGAAGTGGAGCCAGTGGAGATGGGACTGGTGGAACTGGAGATGGTGGATGTGGAGGAAAGGGATGTGGAACCTATAGTGGTGGAGCCACTGGATGTCAATACAGAAGAGGTGAAACACAAACTTTTAAAACCATTAGGTTATTTACTCACATTATGACAAATGAAAAGTCAAAAAGTGGCTTTGCTGATTTTTTTAGGGAACTTGGTATTATCAACAGAGTTATAAGTTAACTTAAATTGGCATTTGTTTCATTTCCATAGTTTCATAGCTGATGTTTTGAGGGTTAGTCCATTGACAGAGCAAATGACAAAGGGCTAATGCTCAAAATGCCAGCTTTTCCAAGGCCTTAACGGTGGTCAATTTACATTATCAACTCTGTTGATAATACTAAATTTTAATTAAAAGAAAAGAAAACAGCAAAGTCAATTTTTGACTTTTTATTTGTTTATAGTCTGAGTGCTTCTTAGAGGACTTGAACTATATAAGGGGTGTGGGAAAGTGGGCGAGAGAGGTAGTTTCTGAAATCAGTGAAGGTGAGTATCTGCACAAGTGAAGTTGACAGGTGTGAGTTAAATTTATTTTTGATGTGTGTAATATTTCCTTTTTTTGTGTTTTTTTTTTACCTCCCACTATGATTAAATGATATAAGAAAAAGATAGTAAAAAATAATTAAGGCTAAGAATAAATTTGAATCACAACATTTTTTCTTGCAAGGATTTTAAAAAGGAAGCACATCATTTTGATTTTTTTTCATAGTATCAATCTCATTTTTGGAAAGCAGGCTCTCAGATTTCTTTTTGATTGTGTTAAATTCAGATGCTTGTCAACCAGGCTCAGATCGGGTGTCAAAGTTGTGTGAACTTATACAAAAGTGCAGTGTGGGTATCCAGAGGCAGGAACCATCTGCCACACAAAATAAAGGTAAACACATCAAAGAGCCAAAGTGGAGCAAGTACAAAGTTGGCATTATAGTTTTATTAAACCTAGCTTAGATGGAATTTAAATTTTTTTTAAGTTGTAAGGAAGCCAAATTTGTTTGGAGTGAATTAGCATTAAGAAATAGTCCCCCCTGAGAGGACACAAGGTCACTGGTAATGAATAGTAAACCAAGTGTTAAACACTGTCAGTGTGGTCGTTGAAATGTTGTTTGTATGGTATTTTACAAAAAATTGAAAAGGAATGTTGTGATTTAACTTTTTGGACCAATCAAAACAATTTGCTGAAAGAGAGGTTTTGTAGTGTGCCAATGTTTGGGGACAGGGTGTAGGATGTCCTTGTCATTCCTAGGTAGGATTTATAGTCGTTGTCAGAAAATGCCAACAAGTAAAATTGTGTCTTCACTATCTGACATGATGTGAGGCCTATTATGCAAAATTGCGCCATCGTCCAATATTAGAAGTCCTTTACATTATAGTGTCTGCATGGTGTAAAAAAAAGTAAGAAAGAAGGAAAAGAATTTTAAAGTTAAAAGGAAATCAAAGTTTGTCAGCTTGATGGATCAAACTAGTGAGCCTCAGCTTCCAAACCAACTTCATAGGGGCAGGCATGTGAGGTCTTACTTGAAATGGTTTTTCTTACTTACTTACTTACTTACATATACTATTGATGTAGAGCCAGGAAAGCTAAAAAAAAGGAACAGCTGATTTTTTCTTTTTGCAAATGATGGGTACTTTCCCATTACACAGATAGGACATTTTAACTGTACAATTACACTGTCCAAATAGAAGCAAGACATGCACACTGTCCTGCTAGTATTGAAATTGGGAAGTGGAACCAATTCTGTTTGAGAATTTTGGTTGCTTCAAAATTTAACAGTATTAAGAAATTGAAATCCTCTGCTTTGATCTTTGTTTCAAGCGGAGAGTTTTAAATGTGTGCTCCTAAAAATTGAGTATGTATAGTTGACTTCCCTTTATTTTCTTTGCCATATACTTCCTTCCTGTGGTTAAATTTCAAAGTGGTTATGTAAAACAAAGGGTGAAGTACATTTATTGTTAGCTTTTGGTATCTTGTGGTGAATTGTTGCTGTAGCTAAGTTCTTCTTACACTTAAATTTTCACATGAAGTTTTCCTTCTTGCAGCATGTACTGAAGCTGAGGAGGATTTGGAAGATGATCAACTGTTGTGCACTCAGGAAAGCAATGAAAACTATTTTGCTGACACAGAGGATTGCTCAAGTGTTTCATCTGAAACTAATAGTGCTTTGTCTGATTTAGAAAGCGGGCATGAATCTTTAAGTGGTGAGTTATTTGTGTGCAACCCTGTCAGTAAATTTCGATTTGCTTTCCCTAAGCATAAGATAATAATGAACATGTGACCATGTACCAAATGAGCTACAATTTAAACTAGACTATAGGGTGCAAATATTCACAGAAAGGATAATGAACATTGACTGTTCTCTGTTCTGTCAGAGCTAACAGCAGTGCACAATGTTAGCACAGCTATTCAGAAAAAAGCTTCTGAAGCAATGGACATGTTGCAGTTGGAGATGCGAAGAGTTGTTGGTAAGATTATGGAATGTGGTGGAGATAATTATGATCTAATATCCCAATTTTAGGCCTTAATACCTTAGGATCCTAGTAAAATGTCTTCATTCTGCCTCATTATGGAAATGATAACGCCTCACCTTTTGAAATGACAAAAACTTGATGTCGTTTTGGCCAATAATCAGTGTCTAATGTGTCAGTGTACTAAATATATTGGATTAGCTCTGGCAGATTTACACGAAAGCAGGCTATGTGATAGGAACTGTATGTGGTTATGGAAGCTCACTCGAAAGATCTCCTTTTTCCTACTTGCGAAATATTATGTCGTGAAGTAGCTCTTTGGCAGGATAGATATCTGAGCTCCCCTAAACTTTTGAATCCTTCGCCATTTGGCAATCTTTTCCCTGGTGATTGCTTTTCTGTCGACTTCTTTTTCAGGCAAAGTTGGTCGATAGATAGTGCAGGTATTGTTGTTGAAACCCTAGAGTCTATTAGATGAAGACTGCATTTCATGCTGTTTTAATACACCTTTCTAGATAACAATCAAACGCTTGTATTGAACTATCATGTTAGTTTTGCCTGATGACTGTTTTAAAGCTAGCACTGTGTTAGCTCCAGATCTCATGTAATCAAAGAGTCTGTGACTGCGGCAATCGTAGCTTCTCACCACCACTAGTAAAAAAGGCGATTTGTTGACGGTGAACGGTGTGGGTTCAAACTTAAAATAAAAGGAAAGAAATACAAAATTACAACAATTAATTGAAGGTGATAGGAAAGAAATACACCGAGCCAGCTTGAAACGAAAATACTTACATTGTTGCGATTACTACAAAACTGCTCTTGACGAAAAAACACTGTCCGAAACTAAGTTTATATACGCACAAAAAACTGAAATTAATGCATGCAAAAATGACTAACTGAAAGTGTAATTGGCGCCAATAATTGCGAAAGAAACAATAGTGAACGAAAGTTGTGATATGGAAAACAACAGATGCTAACTAACCGGTGAGAAAACACTAATAGACGACAAGAAACAGCAACAACAAAAAGAGACACCCTAATTAATGATTGAATACATTCTGTACGCTAAGATCTTACATACCGGCCCCTAAGTGCTAAGTCCGCGAAGCACTTACACTAAGATCCAAGCGAAAAGCACTAACATATGATTTAACTTAGTGGAAACTATGAAGTTATTTCAAAACGAACCCTATAACTTTATCGCCAATGTCTCTGAAACTATAGTGACAGGAAAATTCTGAGACAGTTCATCTAGTGCTAGACAATCTCTTATTCCTTTCCCTTTACCAATAAAACAAGCTTTTCTACGGGACGCTTGAAAATGAAAGACTTGACGTTGACCTTAACTTTGCGAACGAATCCGTTTTTGTCCGGAAAAACTTCTTGAATTCTTCCGAGTAGCCAAGAATTTCGACTGGTTTTCTCAGCAGAAACTAACACAACGTCTCCAGTTGCGAGGTTTCTGCGGGAATAAAACCATTTCTGTCGACTCTGCAGCAAAGGAAGGTACCCTTTAGATCATCTCTTCCTGAAAAGATATCGGACAGATATTGGATTTGCTGCCATCCCCGCCAAGAGAACAGATCTTCCTTTTAGAAAACACCTGGGGATTTGAGCGACAGTAGATGATTCGGCGTAAGGGACTCTAGATCTTTAGAGTCGTCGTAGACCACGCTGATATGGCGGCTTCTCAAAATGCTCTCCACTTCGCACATAAGGGTAGTAAGACCTTCATCGTCTGTTGTTTGTTCCCGGAGAAGAGCACGAAGGATTCTTCGAACTGAGCGAATGCGTCGCTCCCAAATACCTCCGTGGTGTGAGCTATACGGGGGATTGAAGTTCCATTTGACGTTTCTCTGCAACATCTCTTCTGAAATCTTGTCCTGGTTCCAGGCCTGAATTAACTCACATAGCTCACGCTCTCCGCTTGTAAAGTTAGACCAATTGTCTGAGCGTATCTCTTTAACCTGGCCTCTTCTTGCAGTGAATCTTCTAAGTGCAAGCAGGAATGAGTTAATATCGAGGCTATGGGCCACTTCAATATGAACTGTGCGAACTGTTAGGCATGTAAAGATGACACCATGTCTTTTAATGAGGCTTCTGGAACGGCGCACTTGAAACGGACCAAAACAATCCACTCCAACTGTCGTGAATGGCGGCTTGTCGGGAATCAAACGATCCTCTGGTAGATCGGCCATTTTCTGTTGGCAAAAAGGTGCCTCGCCTCGCATCGTCTACGGCAACTATAGCAACTCGTTAAGACTCTTCTCACCATGGAATCTCCTTTGATAATCCAGTATTTCTGGCGTATTATGCTTAACACATGCTGTCTTCCTGAATGACCTGAAAGCGTGCGAAATGGTCAGTGATAAGGCTTGAGACGTTTTTTTTTCGGAAGGATTATTTGGTGCTTTGCGTCACACGAGATACGCGCACGAGCCAATCTTCCGCCAACGCGCAACAAATCGTCCTCCAGGATCGGGTCCAGTTTGAAAAGGCAACTGCTACGTTTAACGCGTTTGCTAACACTTGATTGACTGAGATCATTGAACTCCTCTGGGAAGGCGTCTTGTTGGACATCTTTCAATATTGCTTTCTCGGCATTTTCCATCTCCTCAATAGTAGTTGGTGAAGGTTTCTCTTGTAGAGTCTTCGGCTGATCACTTCCTTTCCACCCTTGGTTGCCATCAGGAGATTGTTTCGATAGCGCAGATCCAAGCGAATGATTTCTTCAAGCGATACCAGCTTGAGAACCTCTGGAAACAATCTGATAAGACTGTAATTGGCAAGACCACCGCTGCTGCTGACAACTTCTCGTTGGATGCCACCACTGGATTAGGTTTAACTTCCGGGTCGCCGTCCTGAATAGCAATTGAAGCACGAAGTTCATTTGGCCATTGATGCTCAGGATTTCACAGTAACTCCGGCCCCGATAGCCACTTCTGGCAGTTTAGCAAAGCATCAGCTGATAGTCCACTAGAAGTGTAGTCACCTGGATTCATGGTTCCCTCCACGTGATACCACTGGTCTGGGCTTGAGCCATCTCGTATTACTGCAATGCGGTGAGCAACAAAATGTGGAAACGCCTGTTCTCGTTCTTCACGTAACGAAGTACGGACATGCTATCGGTCCAGAAGACAGAAGGGTCGCTGATTGGTACCTCAATCTCTCTTTTAAGCATCCTGTCCTGGCGGATGGATAGAGTCGCAGCAGATAACTCTAAACGGGGAATAAAGATGGACTTCAAAGGAGCCAGGCGAGACTTTGCAAACAAGAACGAACAATGTACTCTCCCTTTCCCATGAATCAAACGCAGATAAGAAACTGATCCATACGCAACATCCGACTCATCAGAGAAGTGATGGAGTTGACTGTAGAGCACAGGACCAAAACCCTCGGGTAACACGGAACGGTTAACTGAAAACAATGAAAGCTTCGGGAGATCGTCCATCCATTTATGCCAACTAGAAGCGTTTTCGGGCGGAACTTCTTCGTCCATCCTAGCTTGATGCTGCAAAGATTCTGCAGGGTTTGTTTAGCGACCTAAACATCAGCAAAGGAGTCGGAAAAATCACGATTGTAAAAGTTGTCTACCATGTGCTGAAGCTGGGGGTCAAATTTGACAAAGGAGCTTACAGCCTCGGATCCATGGCGACAATGTCCACAAGGACCGTTTACTGCCCAACCAATGCGCGTTCTTGATGCATAGGGGCCACTGTTTTCACCGTGCCTTATCTCGACCGGATCGAGCGCCTCTGGAACGTTACTGCCAATCAGGAGTCCGATCTCGGCATCAAAGCGAGGTATGAAAACACCATCTAGATGGGGCCACTGATCCACATCCTCCTGGGTTGGAATGTCTTCCTCACTAAACGGAATCCCGAGTCTCGTATAAAGCGCGGAAAGACTAACAAAATGATATCATCGAGATCGGACTCCACTAAGTCCCGGATGAGGTAACTTTCAACCGGACTGTTCTTTTTCTCCAAGGTGGACAGGGAAATCTTCACTTTGGTTCTTTCAACCTCGAGTTTTCTTATTAACGATTCCGTATAGAAGGTGACACTACTTCCATGTAGAAAGGCGTGAGTGATGACTGTCCGATTGTTAGCTCTCAAACGGACTTTGACAGGGATGACGGCCATAGCTGTCCTACCACGGGCTTCTTCACTACTGCTCTTGGGACACTTGTCTGTATTAGCTATGACATTCAGGACAGGAGTGTCAGTGCTGCCCTCGGTTCCTACTGTGGATTTCTTACGATTAGTCCTCGTATGAAGGACTGTGGGATGCTTTCGAGTGCTGTTAGGGAATTAACAGATTTTTCTTTCAGTGCAAACTCTTGCGACGTGCTTGCCTGACAAACAGCCAAAGCAAAGCCTCTTCGTAGAGAGGAACTTGATACGCTCTTGATAAGGCTTCCATCTGAGCACATGACAGTCTTCTAGAGCGTGGTTCTTTTGGCAAAATGGACATAGGTTAGGTTGAACACCGTGGCACGTGGGGTAACCGCCAGTAGACTGCTCTGAATTCGCGTCTTTATTGTCCTTCACCTGGGTGACAAAGGTTGATGTCTTCGTCTTAGATGGTTTGAAGCCAGCTGGTAATTGTGGCGTTCTGCGTGACCTTTGATCAGAGCTGGGTTGGGCGTTGGCTGAGATGTTCCCGAACACTGGATTAGTAGCAATCCTTACTTCACAGTCAACAAAGGTAACGAGGTCACAATACTTTGCTGGTCTTGACTCTATCTCCATAATGTCATCTGCGCAGCGACACCACCTCTCTCTCGTGCTGAACGGCAGTTTGAAGACCAATTTCTGGATGTTCCCTGGCTGGTCAAACTTCGATGAGTACTGACTGATCGCCAAAGCATTCGTGCAACTTGAGAGGAAAACGGCAAACTGAAGAGCTGAACCATCTTCTGGTTTTATGGAGGGCCATGCTAGAGCGTTAGTTTCGTAAGCTAAAGTGACCCGATACTCGTCTCCAAATTTCTTCTTTAGGAGCCTACGAGCCTCATTGTATCCTTCGTCAGGTGGTAGATGATGACAAGATATGACCAGCTCTTTAGCGTCTCCTGAAGTATACTGCTCGAGATAATAAAGCCTGTCTGTGTTACTATGAGTGCGAGATCTATCAAACTCTCAAAGGCCCGAATAAAAAAAATGCAGCAAATTATGACAAATACAGAAAATTATGTAGCAACTAAAAGGATAACCTAGAAATTGTATGCAATTTTTTAATATTTATTTTGGATATTCTTAAATGGCAGTAGCTTAAGAAAGTGCAAAATTATAAAAGTACTTTCACCAAAAAATAATTTTAAATGCAAACAGTGGAAAGTATTAGCTAAGTCCACGGGTGAAGGAAAGTGTGGCATGAAAAGGGTATGGTGTACGCATATATCTCACGGAAACAAAGCGTTGCTGCATAACAGCTGAAAAAAGCATCTAAATTTACTGCCACATCTATTATGCAGATTATATAGTGTATTAATGATGGTTACAAAATCCCCTGAAGACTGTACTAGGGTCTAGAACTCCCCATTTCTAAATGTTTTTCTTACTTTGTTGGTGGCATTCCATGCTTATTAATATTTGCCGATAAGGCCTCTTTTGCATCATCTCTGGAGCCCTGAGTGGTATTAGGAATATCTCTTGTCCAGATTTAGTTTCCAGAGACTAAAAATAATTTACAAAATATCTAGAAAGTGATGCGATTTGTCCTTTTTTCTTTTTTTGAAGGGAACATGCAGGGAAATGGTGGTATACATGATGATGAGCCTGAGTTGAATTCTGGCTCAAGATGCAATACCATTTGTGTGGATTCCACTGCAAGCTCTCAGCTTGGAGCCACAGGGCATGGTTCTGAACGTGAAAGCCTCCTTCTTGTTGAGAAGGTAGAGAAAAAAGAAAGAGATCAGGACCCTAGACCAACTGACACATTGGCTTATGACAAAGTAGAGAATTGGCTACAGTTCACCTGCTCTGCCAATGGCTTGCCATTTCTGTCTCCTTGTTTTCCAGAATCATTAGACTCAGATCACAATGATACTCTTACATTGCTTAATTGTGTGGAGTCTGCAAGAGCCATTTTGGAAGGAAGAGAGAAAAGAAAAAGAGCAACAAATTGGTGGAGTAGGGGAGGAAAAGTGAGTAATCCTTTCTTTCATTCCATATTGGTGGAACCTCTGGAAATTTTACTAGGTTCATTGATGTACGTGATGGTCTAAAATTGAAATTTCTGGCTGCTTCTCTTGAAACTTGAGGCAGAAATGTGCAAAGATCATATCTTTTTTTTTACAGTATAATTGTCTGTAGTTTGTCAGCATATGTATTTTACTTTTCAGTATTTTTAAAATGAATTTCTTTTGTTGGAAGGACTTTTTTTTATGAATATGTTAAACTTCACAGAAAAGTACTGACACATTAATTTGATTCTGAAAAGTCAATTGTACACTGATCAACTTTAGTGAAGTAACCATCTGCAAGCAAAGCTTGAAACCACTAACAGATTACCAATACTATTTGCGATTTAGCTTTCAAACCCCTGGTTGGCTTTTTCCTTGAGAGAAGATATTTCAGATATTTGTGGTGTTTACAGGTTTACGTATAAGTTTCATAGTAGCTGTGATTTTGATTACTATGATTATTGTGGCATACATATTTAGCTTGAAGAGGACGAAGGAGAGGAGCAGAGTTCAAAACGACATGGGGCAAAGAAAGACTACAAAGTCGAGAAATGGCTGAAGGTTGTCTGCGCTGCTAAGGGCATGCCAGCTGGTGAATTGATGTCATTTATGTCTAGTAAAGTTCCCTCAAGTTTAGATGCAGCTCACGACGATGAGCTTTCATTGCTAAAGGTTTTAGAGACTGCAAGAGTTAGATTACCAGGAATAGGAGAAAGAGAGAGAGATGCAAAATCTTCTTACAATGGAGAGGTGAGGAAGTCTTGTTTTTGTTTCTTTTGAATTGTGCGTCCAGCATTATCTGTCATTTTGCAGTGCTCAAGGCAGGTTTGTTAATACCCATTATAAATAAATATGTGGGCAGATATCTTATATTTTGCTAATTTACTATTGTTCGTTTTTGCTTTCGGTAGACATGGGCAGTGTAGTCATTTCCATTTTTAATGGCTTTCCATTTGCGGTGTAACTGGAGATGTGGGGGGGGGGGGAGAGGGGGACACAGACAAGGGATCTGCACTTAGATATTACATCCCATGTAAAGTTTTGCATAGGGTGCATCAATGGTTTCTGTGATGTGTTGTAGTTACAAACCTAATGAAGATTTTATGGAACATTCGGACATTCAGTTTCAGAAGTCTCTGGTTTGACTCAATCTCCTTAATGCATTTGGTTAGGTTGTTGTGCTTCAATAATTATAGTCATCCACAACAGTTCTGTGTACCAATGGACTCCGACCCTGTAGACGTGGGTCACCTTAACTTAATAACTTTTATAAGTCATTCGGGTTCTCTAATCATAGATAACAGGAAAGCAGTCATACATTGTCAACTGCACTACTTCCCCTAAGATTGCCAATTACCTGTATGTCTGTATTACTTACTTTTCCAGCTCTTACCAACATTTCTTGATATTTGCTTTTTTGTCCAACATCGAAACGCTGAGTTGTTCTAAATTTTTTTAAATGTTTTTCAAAATCCACAGAAAAATGATGTCCGACCTTCCCAAAGCAACCACCAACACGTGGCAAAGCAGGCAGAGGCTTGAGCAGCCATAAGCAATCATGAAGAAAAATTCATTACCATGAAAGCTTAGTTTGTGTCACTTAATTTGTAAACACATCGAGCATCTCTTACGCTACCTTTGTGCTCTCCCAACTATCCGCGTGCATTCTGAATTGGATTATAGAACGCTAGACATTGTCCATTCCTCAACTTTTCCACGATATATTAGCCAATCCAAGCGCGCGTTAGAATGTCGCTATGTTATAATATAGGATGCAACAGACAATTTTGAAAACATGTACTTTCGTACCCGAGTGTCATTAGAGTTAAAATGTATTAAAGATGTTGTTAATTTAAGTCGATAAGTTGGAGAGTTAGAGAATTGCAAAGGATATCATGAGAGCTATCGTCACTGTTCTTTTAGCTTTTTCCTCTCCTTCCTTTGCAAACGAAGCTACCAAACATGAAGTTTGAAAACTTTTGTAACGCCATTAAGTTCTGGGATATAAAGACGAACATACTGGGTTTCAAGGAATAGAGTTGAGAGCCGATCTATTTTTTTCGTGGTAGGCTTTAAAGACGTACATAAATGTAGGTTTACATATTTCTGCTAATCAAATGAAAAAAAAAAACTTTCCAAAGATTACGTCCTGATCTATCACGATCTAAAGGCTTGATCAGGAACGCAAAACGTCTAGTGTCTGTAACGTTAAGTCTTAAACCAAGTTTATTTGAATCAAAAAGTCTAAACATGAAGCTGTTAGAACATGGAAAACCTAACAATAAAATAAAAACAAGTGTACAAAATCAAGAAACATGTGCCTGAAATTGCTGAAAACTACATTCATCTTGCACCATACAAAATCAGGCCATGACTTAGTTCTGTTTTTCTCGAAGTTTTATGATAATTTGAGGCTGCTGCTGCTGCATCAAGGTAAACATCTGCTGAAAGTTTTGCATCTGTTCTTGTTACTGTTAAGTTTGCTGCATGCAGAATGACCTGCATCAAATCCTGATGTTGCTTTTTGGATTGCTCTTCCTTCTTACTCTCAGCCTCTAGTCGCCACTTCTGTAGCTGTATTTCTTCCATTTTCCGTCTCTGCATGAGGTCGTTCTTTTCTCGCAAATATGCCACCGTGTCACTACCACCTCTTCGACGTTTTGCTCTTGCTGCTGTTTCATTCTCCACCTCATCTTTCCTTTGTATTTTCTGTGTCCCGCCAAGGTTCTCATTTCCGCTGCTTTGCCACTATCGAGTTTCTTTTTGTCATTTTGCGCTGTTTCTTCAACCACAGCTTCTTTTTCTGCTATCTCCTCAAGTGCTTTTTCAACGTCACCCAAATCTGTATCTATTCCGCTCAAAAGCGTAAACCGTTCTCTAACAGATCGCTTCGTCACTCTGAATTGGGGATGTTGAAGGCTGTTCAGATTGTTCGCTATTTTATCCCAAATTTGGCCCCTTACGATGCTTCCTTTCTTTGCCTCGAATGGTTCAAGAACGGGAATCTCCTGACAAAGACAATTGTCATATTGTTCAGTCCACTCCATGTTGGTTCTAAAGATAAAAATAAAATGTTAACGCTTATTTTTTTTTGTGTGTTGCATGTTGTTTGTCTTTTTTTTTACTGCAAGCAGAACCCTTTTTTGTTCACATGCAAGACACTTTAACAAACATAAACAATCGAGAGATTATCATTTACTAAGCGTAATTCGTGTTGAGTTTCACAACATTCATTGTTATAAACGTGAAGAAACGAGAGAAAGAGAACTTACTGAGAAATCTTCTTGGCACTCATGTCGGCTGCAGCCATGACCTGTTCGGTGGAGAAGAAAAAAAGCATGTTTTTTTCTCGGAAATCAGGTCCCAGAAGAGTAGGCAAATGAATTTAAAATATTATTGACTCCATAATGCGCAAAATATTCGAAAATTATAAAAGATAATTTATAAAAATACTGTGATCAACTCACGTTTTGTACGAAACGACAAACTGGTTGTTTTGACGTCTCAGACAACACAGCTACGGCGGGAATTTACGGGAGACGGCTACCGGAAGTAGGTAAACACGCATTCAAACTTCCGCCCGCCGTCGTAGACATCCGCCGTCCTCGGATCTTGAGGTCCCTAATAGTGATTTGGGTACGGGGATACTCAAAATGAGATGTTGTTCATATTACCTGTCTGGAGTGGTTCTCAAACGTATTTGTTCTTATTGTTATTATTGTTAAAGTATGATCATATGAATTTATTTATATTTATAAGTTTATGTAATAAAGTCTCGCACGACTTGTGTCTGCATGCTTAGCTGTGCGTATATCGAGTTATGGATGCACCTGGGAAGTTTGGAGAGTACTCAAGAAGCTAGTGTTGCTTTCAGCTGTGCCTCACGCAACTCTTTCGCTTCTCTCGTGCTCTCCAAACTCCTGCGTGAATATCTCAGTCGACATAAACACGCTAAGCAAAACCAATTCTTTGTCGTCGCACGACGCGCTATACAACATTTCCCTGCGACACTATCGAAGTCGGGCTTCTTTAAAGTCTCTGAAGCTGGTATAGATTTTGCTGTTCCATTTCCACGCCTTCTCAAAGATTTGCCGGAGAATAAAGATTTAGTCACTGTCCGAACGCAGAACCCTGCGTGCTATTTACCAATGTCTTTCTCCAGGAGGGTCGTAATGCGTCCTTGTATAACATTTCGGAACACTTATCTTGTGAGGTACAGGAGTGTTATGTTGGCTCTTCACATTTTAGTGGACTAGATACTTCAATTTGGAAAATGTGTCTTTGTAAATAACTAAGTGTATGTAGGTGTATGACGCTCAATTTTTTTCATGGCACTTATGTTGCAAAAGTGGTTAATGATATGGCCGGTGAGCTCGCTTAGTTCCTAGCTGTTGA